CTACTTGCACTTTGATGTGCTTTCGAACTGCTAGGTTGGCAGGAGCAGGGACCGAGCAACGGGAGCTCACCCCGTCATTGCGGGGATTCGAACCGCCGACCTTCTGATCGGCAAGTCCTAGGCTCTGTGGTTTAACCCACAGCGCCATCCGCGTCCCAGGTACGCCTGTACCACAATGAAAAATATAGGCAATCGTTATGCAAAACAAATAGATGAAATGGCACAGCTGCATAAAAAGCCCTTTGAGAGATCCCCCAAAGCCAAAAGCACAGCCTCTGCTCTGCATACAGAAGGTCCCGGGTTCAAATTCCCGACATCGTCTGGGAGTGGGAAACCCGTTTTAAACTCTGGAGAGCTGCTGCCAGTCTGTGTAGACAATACTGAGCCGGGCAGACCAGCACAAGTGTCAGGCTTCAGGGACTCTGCTTCCTCGCTGCCCTTTGGCAGTAGATAGGCAGAACAAAGCGAAAGGAGTCTCTTACCAGTTCAAAGTTTTAATGATTACTGTAAGAGGACAAAACATGCATTCCTAGGGATGAGGTGCTCCCAATTAAGGGTTCCACCCACTGCCCCCCTTGTCACCCCCGTCACTCCCACCTCTTGCAACCTGCTATCATGACCACTGTGCTTTCTGTGCAGTCAACTTACTGTATTTTTTGCTCTATAAGGCTCACTTTTTCCCTCCTAAAAAGGAAGGGGAAATGTGTGTGCGTCTTATGGAGCGAATGCAGGCTGCGCAGCTATCACAGAAGCCAGAACAGCAAGAGGGATTGCTGCTTTCACTGCTCAGCGATCCCTCTTGATCTTCTGGCTTCTGAGATTCAGAATTTCTTTTCTTGATTTCCTCCTCCAAAAACTAGGTGCGTCTTGTGGTCTGGTGCGTCTTATAGAGTGAAAAATACGGTATCTGCTCTCCTTGGGCTGAGCAGGTGGACGCTTTCCAGAGAAAGTGAGACTGTTAACTCTCTCTCTCCCAGTTAAGATTTCAAGGGGTCAAATAAAATAATGGATGTACCGTGCTATATTAAAGCAAAAAAACTTGTTTTGATGAATTGGAAGAGATTCCATTGAGCACATGGATTGATAATATAGACAGATTAGCTGTCATATGAACGAATTGCACGTCGACGAAAATTAAGAATGGATAAATAGGTAGAAATCTGGAATGAATATTTAAGCGATGAGGCGGATAGTGGGGGGAGGAGAGAGAGGTGGGGAAATAATGTTAAAAGGGTGCAGTCGTAGGTATATCAGTGTATTTAAATCTGAATTGTCAAATTGTGTTATTGTTACAGTGGTACCTCGGGTTACATACGCTTCAGGTTACATATGCTTCAGGTTACAGACTCCGCTAACCCAGAAATAGTGCTTCAGGTTAAGAACTTTGCTTCAGGATAAGAACAGAAATTGGGCTCCGGCGGCGCGGTGGCAGCAGGAGGCCCCATTAGCTAAAGTGGTGCTTCAGGTTAAGAACAGTTTCAGGTTAAGAACAGACCTCCGGAACGAATTAAGTACTTAACCCAAGGTACCACTGTATTATGGTTTTCGTTGTAGTCTCTTTTGCGGTTGTTGTTTGTATCGAAAAAATGATTAAACACCGTATTTTTCGCTCTATAAGACGCACCAGACCACAAGATGCACCTAGTTTTTGGAGGAGGAAAACAAGAAAAAAAATATTCTGAATCCCAGAAGCCAGAACAGCAAGAGGGATCGCTGCGCAGTGAAAGCAGCAATCCCTCTTGCTGTTCTGGCTTCTGGGATAGCTGCGCAGCCTGCATTCGCTCCATAAGATGCACACACATTTCCCCTTACTTTTTAGGAGGGGAAAAAGTGAGTTTTATAGAGCAAAAAATATGGTATTTTTTTTTTAAAAAAACTCTCTTTCTCCCAGTTCTTCTCCTCCTAGCTGTTCACCTCCCAGTTCTTCCCAACTTCTGTCTTCTACACTATGCCCCTCTGCAAACCACTGCTCCAAATTTATACTGTCCTCCTGCTCCTCAGCATGGACCCCGACGACAAGGCAGCTACCTACGTTCTTATCCTATCAAGTGCAACCGCGGTTACCTGGATCTCTTTCAAGTCCTTGTCGCACAAGTTCTGAAGGGGGTCGATAAAGTTCTGCTTGACCTCGATGTCCAGAGAGTCCTTAACCTCGGCCAAGCGCTTCATGGACTCGCCAGCGTCGAGAAGTGCGTCGCCTTCGTGCGGGGCGAAAGGGAAACAGCAGCGCCGGGAGAGCGGGGATGAAGGGAGAGACAAGATAGCTGGTTAAAAGGAAAGTATGCAGGTGGCGCTGTGGGTTAAACCACAGAGCCTAGGACTTGCCGAACAGAAGGTTGGCTGTTCGAATCCCCGCGACGGGGTGAGCTCCTGTTGCTCGGTCCCCTAGCAGTTCGAAAGCACATCAAAATGCAAGTAGATAAATAGGTACCACTCCGGCGGGAAGGGAAACGGCGTTTCCGTGCACTGCTCTGGTTCACCAGAAGCGGCTTAGTCCTGCTGGCCACTTGACCCGGAAGCTGTTCGCCGGCTCCCTCGGCCAGTAAAGCGAGATGAGCGCCGCAACCCCAGAGTCGGTCACGACTGGACCTAATGGTCAGGGGTCCCTTTACCTTTATACCAAAGGAATGGAAAAGATTGTTTATGTACGCTAAGACAGCTGCAAGGATGCTGCTTGCCCAGAGTTGGAAAGACGACGAGATACCTACTAGGATGGACTGGCAGATGAAACTATTGGATTACACAGAGATGGCAAGATTAACCGGGAAAATCAGAAATCAGGAGGATCAAAAGAATGGGGAAAATTTATATTGTATCTGAAAGACCCCTGTAAACACTCTTTGGCAGGTTTTAAATAACTCTTGCAATGAACCATAGACTTTGGATACAATAAGGTAAAGGTAAAGGGACCCCTGACTATTAGGTCCAGTCATAGCCGACTGGAGTTGCGGCGCTCATCTCGCTTTATTGGCCGAGGGAGCCGGCGTACAGCTTCTGGGTCATGTGGCCAGCATGAATAAGCCGCTTCTGGTGAACCAGAGCAGCGCACGGAAACGCCGTTTACCTTCCCGCCGGAGCGGTACCTATTTATATACTTGCACTGGCGTGCTTTCGAATTGCTAGGTGGGCAGGAGAGGGACCGAGCGACGGGAGCTCACCCCGTCGCGGGGATTCGAACCGCCGACCTTCTGATCAGCAAGTCCTAGGCTCTGTGGTTTAACCCACAGCGCCACCCGTGTCCCATTCATTCATTTGCATCCCTGTAAATAAGAAGGACTTATAATACACAGTTATAAAAGTTACTTAAAGAACCCACAGAGGGGAGGAGGGACGTTTTGAGATTCGAAAGAATCTTGTGCAATTTTAATTTATTTTTTTTTTGTGATCAGGAGTGCAAAGGAATTTGTAAAATCAAATAAAATCTATTCTAAAAAAACCCAACAAAATATCTTTTAAAGATAAAAGAAATAAAAGGAAAGCAAGAAAGCAAAGCAGCCTTGACAAGGCTATGCAAAATCCACAAGGGTGAGACCGGAGAGGCCACCGTTCAGCGACACAGTGTCTGCTCTGCATGGGGAAGTTTGCAGGTAGGGGACGCCTCTCTCTGCCCCAGCTGCAACAAAACATGTCTCTCCTGTAGTGGTCTCTATGGCCACAGGAGGCGCTGTAACTCTCCAATGGTTAAAGTACCCTCTTCCATTGTCACCTGAGACACAGACGGATGCCAACCAAGCAACCTAATAATAATATTAATAATATGGGTAGGGCGCCCTCACCGAAATTGGAGTCTTCGCCCAGCTCCTTGCCGTAACGGATCATGGTCTCTCCTAGAAGGCCTTCCGACTGCGGGTAGCCTGGGTTCTTCACTTGCCCTCGGATTTTGGACATGGTGTTCAGCATGGTCAGCTTGGCCCGGGACGCTGGTGTAGAAAAGAGACGGCAGCATAGCTGTCAACTTACAGATTTGAAAATAAGGGACCAGCAGCCTCGAAAATAAGGGATCAGCAGCCAAAATAAGGGATTTTAGTCAACCAGCTGAAATACGAAGTGAAAAGGGACCAGATAATTTCAGGGAGCAGCGCTGGTTTTTAGCCCTTCGTTTCCAGAGGTTGCTGCTCAAGACACCAGCCGATGAAATACTGAAATCACCGTATTTTTCGCTCTATAGGATACACCCGACCATAGGATGCACCTTGTTTTAGAGGGGGAGAACAAGAAAAAAAAATCTCCCCCTCTCTGCTCAGCGCCCCTTCAGCGAAGCGGTAGGAGAAACGGAGCCCCTTCCATTTCTCCTCCTGCTTGGCTGAAGGGGCGCTGCGCAGCTCTCTCTCTCTGCTGATGCCAGGAGAGTCTTGCTCTCCCGGCTTCAGCTAAAGGAACCCGAAGCCTTCGGAGCGCAGCGCGAGTTCCCGCTGCGCTCCAAAGGCTTCAGGCGGTGTGCGCCGACCCCTCTCGCTCTCCAGGCTTCAGCAAAAGCAACGCAAAGCCTCCGGAGCGCTGAGGGAGTGCTCCCTCTGCGCTTTGCATTGCTATCGCTGAAGCCAAGGAGCCTGCATGCGCTCCACAGGACGCACACACATTTCCCCTTAATTTTTGGAGGGGAAAAAGTGCATCCTATAGAGCAAAAAATACAGTAAATAACTACAAGCAGCAACCACTTTTCGCGCAAAACGAAGTCCAAGCTACAAAGATGCTGCTGCAGTTCTGTATCTTTTCTCTTGTGCTCCATCTGCAGCTCTCAGTTCCATCAGGTGGGGCGGGAGGAGGGGGGGGAGATAGCACCCAAAGTAAACCTGCAGATCAGACCATCTATGCTAGTCTACCACTACAAATCTATGGGAGAAGCGCTTGCGGTCCTTCCCTTGTAGCCTTTGGAACACCTGCCCACGCCTCCGCCTCTTCCTCCTCTCTCTGAACTTCTTTCTCTATGGTTGCCCTTGCTCTCCTCTCAAGGCTCCTCAGCAATTCATGGGCCGTGCCAGGCTGCCCATCTCATCCAGGTCCTTTGGTGGCGCAGCCGCAGTACGGCCTAGTGGGAGCGGCGGCAATGGGCAGAGGGGAGGCCCCAGGCAGAGACACTCAGTTCGGTGGCTGCGAGGAGGATGGTGGCGGAAGGGCCCGAGGCTCCCGCCAGTCCCGTTGGGGAGGAGCTCCCGGGGGCCGAGGCTGGTGAGAAGAGGCCGGAGGGGGGCGGGCCGGGCCGCCAAGCAACACAGTTGGAGCCTCCCTCCTCCCTGGCTGGCAGGGAGGGAGGGAGAGGAGCTGCTTCCTTTGAAACCCGGGAAATTTAAGGGACATCATCAATAAGGGACAGCACCGGGACACGGCGCTGGGATAAGGGACTTTCCCACCAAATAAGGGACGGTTGACAGCAATGGATGGCAGCCACACGAGAGTTTCCATCAGACCGTCTTGCCAACGAGTCAAGGCGATTGCCAATAATTAAGCAGGGGAGGGAAACAGGAGAGGCAGCCTTGGCGGCCAAGAAAAAAAAAATCTATTGTCTTAGAACAACCCCAAAATATCAGGTAATGGTCGTTTTTCCAGGATCGCAGGCAGAAAATAGTCCAGCCCGGAACTTGCCAGAAGTGAGAGGGGTGTGTGCGCGCGAAAGCTACAGACTCCCTGATCTTCTGGCAAAGATCCAAATTAATCCCTGGGGTCCTCTTTGCAGAAGTGGTTACGGGAAGCCTGCTGGAATGCAACCCAAAAGCCAAGAATCGGGAGCAGGCCGCGCGGACCGCCTTGCCGGCTGGCTCAGCAGCAAAAAACACAGTGCGCGTCGAAAGCCACCTTCAGCTCAAAGGGACGGGTCAGCAAACGGGGGGGTGGGGAAGACCCCTTCTCTTCCTGAAACCCTGGAACGCCACGGTCAGCACAGGCGATATTGGGCTGGACAGGCCAGTGGCCTCGACTCAGTTCTCAAGCAACTTCCTGTGCTCCCAAAATCATGTGCTCTATCGGAACCACAAAGGCTTTATTTTGGGGAAAAGAGCCACAGCTCAGTGGCAGAATATCTGCCCTGCGTGGTGCAGAAAGAAACAGGTTCAAGCCCTCAACCCCATGTCAAAGAGCAGTTCAAAGTTGGGAGTTAACTCTTTATTAGCAAAAGAATGATATCCTCAGGTTTGGCTGGGTGTCAGGTCTAATGCGCACAGCAGCTCATCCCGGAAACTGTTTAGGGGCCAAGAAGGTAGAGAATGAATAATGTTTTTAAGCCCCATAAAATTTGAGAACAGAAGTCTGCTGGCTGTCAGCTCAGCTTAAAGTTTGTTTTAAAATTTTAAAAACTGATGGCGATCAGACACGATGCTAATCATAATCTTCCAGTAAAAGGTGAACTCTAGCAAACTTCATTGAATGCAGTAAGACATTTAGGGCATATCTAGGAAAAGGAAAACTCTGATCCTAAACCTCCAGTGCCTCGCGGGACATCTTCAGGAGAAGAAGGCCACAAGAGACTAGGGCCCTGCGGGACTTGACATCTTTCCGCAGGGCCTGCAAGACAGAGCTGTTCCACCAGGCCTTTGGCCAGGGCGCAGCCTGACTCCCTCCTTTGGTTATCCTCACAGAACTCTAGCCCAACGGTTGCCATCAGTTTGATTTGAACTGATTTTATAATGAATTGATTTTAGAGTGCTGTATTATTTTACTGTTGTTAGCTGCTCTGAGCCCGGCTTTGGCTGGGGAGGGCGGGATATAAATTTATTATTATTATTATTATTATTATTATTATTATTATTATTATTATTATCATTACCCCGTGAATCAGTTGCCGAGGCTGAAAGTCCCCACCTCCCCACAGCCGTCTAAGTTAAGGTTACCAGATGTTTTTCAATGAATCTGGGGACACTTTTCAACTTCAATGGATTTTGTATGGGGACTGATTTGTAAATCCAGGGACTGTTCCTGGGGATGTCTGGTAACCTTAGTCTAAATCCCCTCTGTTATGTACTGAAGTTCTCACCCTGGGCCAGCAGGGGGATACTGTAGATAGTTATGCAAATGAAGGATCGAAAGTGACGTTCAGTGATTGGATAGTTTTAGGAAGTTGCTACAGTAACGTTGTACTGGAGCTCTATATAAGCAGGCTGACTGAGCCCTTCAGTTCAGTTCTGTTCTGGCCTCTGAATAAACAAGAGCTGTTTGAAGAATCGCTGTGTCGTCTGATATGTTCACCCGCAACTTAACACCCTCCTCTCCAGGGCTTTCCCCCAAGCAATCAGAGACTGTGCCTGTGTGCAGCCCGCCGCTACTCCACCCATTTCAGCCCTCTTCTGGTTCTGGGAAAGGGAGCTTGTCGCTGCAGGAAGGGGAGGAGACACCTGAGACTCTTACCCAGCTGGACTCATCTTTGCCTCTTGGCCTCCCTCCTCTCCTGCCTGGACCTCGCTCTGCCACAGTCTCCTCCCACTCACTAAATCCTGTTACCCCTTCAGCTTCTCCTCCCAGTCTTCTCCCTCTGACCACTCACCGTTGTCCCACCACCCATCCCCTGGCTCTGAGCCTTCTTGCCTTGGGGATTCCCCAGCTGGTTTCCCCTACTATTCCTCTGCGTCCAACCAGCCCATGATGTTTCAGCATCTCCCGGTAGGGCTGGGGGGGGGGGAATCGTGTCCAAAACCCTGCTAAGCCACTGATAGTCGGTGTAGATCGGGGCTTCCCAATCTTTCTGGCTGTTTTCGGACTACAATTCCCATAGTCCCTGGCCGGTGGACTTGCTAGCTATGGATGATGGGAGTTGTAGTCCAAAAACAGCTGAAGACCCAACTTTAGGAAACCCTGGTGGAAGGCAGAGCCCTCTGTCCCCAAGTTCCCACCCCATTCTGGAACAGTTAGCAAACCCTGGTTCGGAAGGAGTCAGGGTTACTTTTTAACCATGGTCAAAATCTAGGGTGCAGGCCTGCCCAGTGTTTTTGAACCCAGTGTTTCCCCAGAAGTTACGGGGAAAGGCTGTAACGCCACGGTTAGAGCCTTGTATGCAGAGCCTCGCAGGTTTGATCCCCACTGGCTCCATGCAGAGCTGGGGAAAGACTGAATCTCTTGAGAGAGCAGCTGTTGCTCCTTGTGAGCTCGATGGGCCCAGTGGCCTGACTCACTCCCGACGGTCCTGTTCACCAAACTGTGCTGCCTTCCTGTGTTTCGGCTCTCCATTGGCATTCCCACTCTCCCGGCACCAGCCATCGTTGGCTCGTTTTACCCACAAATTGCCTAAAGGGCCGTGGCGATGGTTTTATTTTTATTCTTTTAACACTTAGGCGAACAATAGGAAGCCAAAGAGGAAAGGTCTCATAGCCATGCGCCAAACGTTTCTGGGAACTAGCTTAGCTTTGTAGGAGAACTGCAGGTTGGGTCTTGATTTGCAAACTCTGGTGGAGGTCGACAAACTGACCTTCTATAAGCCACTTGTTTCTCCGTGGGAAAAGTGGTTAATGGTGGGCCTATCTCCCCCAAAAGACAGCATGAGCTCGCCCATTATTGCCTACTAAAAATGTAGGTGTACAGGGGAATACTGTGCATGTTTTCAGGCAGGTCTGGAGAAACCTTTTCACTCCCAGCAGCTTATGGGAGCTATTTACCAGTGAGACGCAGGAGGGGGTAGCAGGGCAGTGAATGAGACTTACCGTACTTCCCCCCCCCCCTTTAAAAATCATGCTAAAAAGTGCGGGTCATCTTATACATGGGTAGCGCATAGGGTGGATGTTTGATTGGCTGTTGCCGAGGATGTCAGCTGCTATTGTGCGTGTTATTGGTTGCTGTGTCAATGGGTGGTGTTGATTGGCTGACGCCCTGGCACTGGCAGTTGGGTGGGCGATTGGCAGCTTCTGCAGGTGAGCTATTTTTTGGCAAACTCCCCTAAAAAAAGCTCCACAACCCTGGGTAAAGGTAAAGGGACCCCTGACCATTAGGTCCAGCCGCGGACGACTCTGGGGTTGCGGCGCTCATCTCGCTTTATTGGTTTAACCCACAGCGCCACCCGCGTCCCTCAACAACCCTGGGTAAATCACAGCAAAAAAAACTCAACAACTCTGTGCTATCTCCCCCCATTTTCTTAGATTTGAGTCCTCCCTGCAGGCAGAAGAGAGGTACTGTGCAATATTTCTGGGCCATGAAGTTATCTGGCACCGGGCTACCCCTCGGGACTTCTGACTCTGAAAAGGTGGGAGAGGGGGAAGGTTTAAATAGCACACCTTCTCAAGAGCCTGCTCAGTTGGATAATAATAATAATAATAATAATAATAATAATAATAATAATAATATTTATATCCCGCCCTCCCCAGCTGAAGCCGGGCTCAGGGCGGCTAAAACAATAAAACAGTACAAAAGTACTGTCTTAAAAGTGTTCCTTCCGCTACTCTAAAATGTGGATTTCCCCTCCCACTGCAGTTTTTGTATCTAGCTTTTTATTTCCGATATTTTTAGGATGTCGCAAGCCGCTTAAGAGACTTCCTTTGGAATGCGAGGCGATGCAAGAGCCACCGACAGGAATAAATGAAATAGGGGCAGGGTGCGAGCGCACATAGCCCAAGCACATCCCGGCTGATTAAACCGGGATCCGATCACCAAAAAGCAGTCAAAGAAGTCGCCACGAAAACTCAGCAAAAAACTGTTTCCCCCCGTGACCACAAAATACAGATCAAGTAAGAAAAATCACACACAGAGGTATAAGCAAAAACAAAACAAGAGTCAGAGACCGTGGTATCAGTGAAAAAATGGTGTGTGTGTGTGTGTGTGTGTGTGTGCGCGCGCGCATAGCACCAGCTACAGAATAAGATGCAGGCGACTCCATTACGCCAGATGATTTCACGTTGCATCGAGCAACGTTAAGTGAAACAAAACCACCCGTCCCTTTCTGGCTGCAGAAATGGGTTGTGCTGTTTTTTTCCACCCGAGCGAAGTGCCAAAATTCCCATGCAGATGTTCCACATCAAAATCACAGCTTTCTGCTGGAAGAGCACCGCCTCTTGTCTAGCAACAAGCCACCGAGCTGTTTTATGTGCTGTCTTTTTTTAAAAACTCTGGGGTGCTGGGGAATGGGGGCTGTGGATGTTGTCCAGGCACAGGCAAACTCGGCCGTCCAGATGTTTTTGGGACTACAACTCCCATCATCCCTGACCACTGGTCCTGCTAGCTAGGGATGATGGGAGTTGTAGTCCCAAAACATCTGGAGGGCCGAGTTTGCCTATGCCTGGTGTTGTCGGACTCCAGCTCCCATCATTCCCTACCGCTGGCTGCGCTGACTGCTGGGAGCTGGAGTCCAAGAAGGTCTCAAGGAAGGAAGTACAGTGGTGCCCCGCAAGACGAATGCCTCGCAAGACGGAAAACCCGCTAGACGAAAGGGTTTTCCGTTTTTGAGTTGCTTCGCAGGACGAATTTCCCTATGGGCTTGCTTCGCAAGACGAAAATGTCTTGCGAGTCTTGAGATTTTTTTTCGCTTCCCCCCCCCTTTATCTAAGCCGCTAAGCCTTTAATAGCCTTTTAGCAGCTAATCCGCTAAGCCGATAAGCCTTTAATAGCCGCTAAACCGCTAATAGCGCTAATCTGCTAAGCCGCTAATAGGGTTGCTTCGCAAGACGAAAAAACCGCTAGACGAGGACACTCGCGGAACGGATTAATTTCGTCTTGCGAGGCACCACTGTAGAATTCGTTTCAGAAAGCAAATGCTTTTTTTTTTTTTAAAAAAAGAAGCAATTCTAGACAAAATTCACAAAATATGTGTGTGGGGGGGGAAAGCTTAGCCATGGCAAAGGGCCTTACCAGGATTGGGCTGGAGGTATTCCGTAGTCCTAGCCAAGACTTCTGTAACAGCCTTGCTGGTGAGATCCACTTTCTGTAGAAATGGAAACAATGCATTGACAATACAAAAGCAGCAGAACAGCAGGCCACAGTTAACGCCAATGGCTGGAGAAGATTAACCACTTTCAGTGGAAATGCAAATCCAGAACATTGTTATTAAAAAAAGGTAATGGTAAAAGGACCCCTGGAAACTTTTAATAAAGAGTATTGTCAGATCAGATGAGATATATATATACCTATATATCTAGTAAAGGTAAAGGCCCCGTGGACGGTTAAGTCCAGTCAAAGCTGACGATGGGGTTGCGGCGCTCATCTCGCTTTCAGGCCGGCGTTTGTCCACAGGCAGCTTTCCGGGTCATGCGGCCAGCAGGACTAAACCGCTTCTGGTGCAACGGGACACCATGACGGAAACCAGAGCGCATGGAAACACCGTTTACCTTCCCGCTGGAGCGGTACCTATTTATCTACTTGCACTGGTGTGCTTTCGAACTGCTAGGTTGGCAGGAACTGGGACAGAGCAACAGGAGCTCACCCCGTCGCGGGGATTCGAACCGCCGACCTTCCGAACGGCAAGCCCAAGAGGCTCAGTGGTTTAGTCCACAGTGCCACCCGCATATGTTATGGTGGTGGTGGTGGTGGTGATTGAATTTATATACCGCCCTATACCGGGAGGTCTCAGGGCAGTTCACATAAAAAGATCACAGTATATAAAATAAAAATAATATCAATAACCCAATAACAACCCCCCCAAAAGAGCCACATTTTAAAAGGGTATATGTCCATCAGGTCAACCAAAGGCCTGATTAAAAAGGAACGTTTTTGCCTGGTACCTAAAGGTGTATAATGAAGGCGGCAGGTGAACTTCCCTGGGGAGAGCATTCCACGGACGGGGAGCCACTGCAGAGAAGGCCCCGTTCTCGTGTTGCCACCCTCCGCCCCTCTCGAGGAGGAGGCACATGAAGGAGGGCCTTGGAAGATGATCTCAGGGTGTGGGTAGGTTCATATGGAAAGAGGCAGTCCTTGAGGTATTGTGGCACTGAGCCGTTTAAGGCTTTATAGGTCAGGACCAGCACTTTGAAGTGGGCCTGGAAACTCATTGGTAGCCAATGCAGTTGGACCGGGAGACCAGGATCGGTGGAAGATGCTCAGACCGTCTTGCAACCTGGCCGCTCAATTCTGTACCAGGTGAAGTTTTCGAACCATCTTCAGAGGCAGCCCTACGTATAACGCATTGAAGTAATCTAACCTCGAGGTTACCAGAGCATAGACATGAATGTGCCATCCCCGCATTGCACCCATGTGCAACGTTGCTTTTCCTCTACTCACCTTTTCCATTTCCTTGAAGTCTTCATCTAGCTTGGTGCCCTCTGCTCCTCCAACCTTCTCGCTGACCATCTTTAAGGAAAACAACAAACACAAAGCACGTTTCAAAAGGCAGCTGCTCAGTTAACACACTATTTCAGAATTGTCAACTTTTTTTCTTACTTTTTTTGTAGGAGAAACAGATTGAGTACCTTTCAATTATCTTGCTCTTTTATTGAGGATTTTTTTCCTCCATAACAACAACTAAAAACAGGTAGGTAGCTGTGTTGGTCTGACGCAGTCGAAATAAATTAAAAAATTGTCTGGTAGCACCTTAGAGACCAACTAAGTTTGTTCTGGGTATAAGCTTTTGTGTGCATGGTAACTGAAGAAGTGTGCATGCACACAAAAGCTTATACCTAGAACAAACTTAGAACCTAGAACACTGCAGATGGTGACAGCAGCCACGAAATTAAAAGACGCCTGCTTCTTGGGAGAAAAGCAATGACAAACCTAGACAGCATCTTGAAAAGTAGAGACATCACCTTGCCAACAAAGGTCTGTATAGTAAAAGCTCTGGTTTTCCCAGTAGCGATGTATGGAAGTGAAAGCTGGACCATGAAGAAGGCTGATTGCCGAAGAATGGATGCTTTTGAATTCTGGTGCTGGAGGAGACTCTTGAGAGTCCCATGGACTGCAAGAAGATCAGACCTCTCCATTCTGAAGGAAATAAGCCCTGAGTGCTCACTGGAAGGACAGATCCTGAAGCTGAGGCTCCAAGACTTTGGCCACCTCATGAGAAGAGAAGACTCCCGGAAAAGACTCTGATGTTGGGAAGGGGAAAGATGTTGGGAGAAGGGGACGGCAGAGGACGAGATGGTGGGACAGTGTTCTCAAAGCTACTAATATGAGTTTGACCAAAGTGCGGGAGGCAGTGGAAGACAGGAGGGCCTGGCGTGCTCTGGTCCAGGGGGTCATGAAGAGTCGGACACGACTAAATGACTAAACAACAACCAAGAACAAACTTAGTTGGTCTCTAAGGTGCTACTGGACAATTTTTTTATTTATTTCAACAACTAAAAAGCAACACATTTAATGGATGGCCATCTGTCATGGATGCTTTAGTGGGACTAGACCTGGGGCTCGCTTCCACCTCCACGATTCTATAATTCACACCCTTATTGTAAGCACAACCAAGTTTCACTTAGGAAAGAACAGATTACAAATATGCTGGATAAGTGTAAGCAAAGGAAGCTTGCTAGTGACAGAGCCCAGAGAGCACATTTTTAAAGGAACTAGTTCAATTTCAAGATGTCCAGAACGGAAGTGATTCCAGTTCGCGTTCATCCCTTCACAGAATCCACTAGTTACATTCAACGTTCGGTTCCAATTATTCCAAACGGTCCTTGGCATTTTTTTCTAGCACCCAGAACGTTCCAAGGGGCTGTGCTCCAGGTATGAAATATACGTTTTGAAAAAATAAAATCACAGTGCACACGGAGTGGAACGGGAATGGTTTGGTTTATTATTTTCTCCAACAAGTAGGATATTTGAGCTTCATTTTTTTTTAAAAAAAAAAAATGATATTTATTAAAGTTTCAAAAAATACAAAAAATACAGAATACAAAAAGAAGAAGAATAAAGTTTTTTTTAAAATATAACCAAAAAAAGTTTAAAAAATAAATAAATAAAAAGAAACATACCAAATAAACAGTTAAAAAGACATTAATTTTCCATAACCTATCTTCCCTATACTTATTTCCCGGACCTCCTCATACCTCCCTTTTTGTATTCCAGTTCAATTTGTTAGTTCAGCAAATCCTTACCATTAAAATTACCCAGTTGCAAACCTTTTTCATATCTCTTAAAGTATTACAGCTAAAAACCTCTTAGTTTCTATCCAACATCCTTCTAAAATTCCTTAATTTTACAATATTTCTGTAAATAGTCTTTAAATTTCTTCCAGTCTTCTTTCACCGACTCTTCTCTCTGGTCTCGGATTCTGCCAGTCATTTCCGCCAGTTCCATGTAGTCAATCACCTTCATCTGCCATTCTTCCAGAGTGGGTAGATCTTGTGTCTTCCAATACTTTGCGATGAGTATTCTTGCTGCTGTTGTAGCATACATAAAAAAGGTTCTATCCTTCTTTGGCACCAATTGGCCGACAATGCCCAGAAGAAAGGCCTCTGGTTTCTTCAGGAAGGTATATTTAAATACCTTTTTCAGTTCATTATTGTGATGGGATTATGAGCTGCTTGTGCGTAAAATCGTATTCCCTCAGAGTTTGTTCAAGTCCACAAACCTCTGTCTGTGACTGAGCCCCTCTGACATGGCTCCTCTTAGTCACTAGAAGATTCCGACAGTGGTTGCTTTCGTGATCGCTTCCAACCTAAAAGCTCCTTAACGGAAACACGTCTTCTGGACTCTCTGCGTGACAGTTTCCGGCGAGGAGTGGGTGTCGCTACAGGAGGTCCGGAAACCTCACCACTGTTTTCGCTGGAAGTATCTCTGAGCCATCCCCCAGCTCCCTTTCCCTCAGTTCAGCTTG